GTGTTGTGAGCAATGCTCCCTCTAAGCTGTGGAGTCTTGTGAGCAAAAATTCTACTTTGTGAGCTACTGGCATTAAAGTTGTGAGTGAGCAATTTGGCTACTGCATAAATTAGTTTGCTCTGGAGCCATCCTTCCTGAGGTAAGACAAAAATGTGTGAGCCGGATACTCAGCTTAGATGGAACACTGGTTGTGACATTCAAAGTTTACCGCTTTTCTTTTTGGAATTGTGAACCACATCCATCAGATACAACAGCGATTGTAAAATAGACACAACACTAATTGTAAAATACATCACTTTTTCTTGGGATGAAATAACAGTGCTAAGAACTCCTGATTTTGCTAGAGACTACCAATTGTTTTCCAAATCACCAACTCAAGATATGCCCCAAAGATGTTAAGTGAAACACAGCATACAGTAATTTCAGGGATTGCTTTTTTTGGATATCAAAATACATAAACAGGAACTCCCTCCGTCTTGGTTTACAGTAGTAGCTCCCTCAACAATATGTTCCCTCCATCTTGGTTTACAATACTAGCTCCAGCAACATCAACAACCTATTCTTTCCTGAAACTATAAAAATTATTTTCCTCCTAACAAATGAAGACAGGAAGGCCTGGCGTGATCTGGTCCATGGGGTTGCGAAGAGTCGGACTTGATTGTGCGACTGAACAACAACAAACAAGTGAAGCTTTTAGTTTCTTATACTTGTCTTAACATCTCCCTATAAATTCTTCCCCAATGTCTCTTCTAGCCTGTATTTTGTACTTAGATGTCTTTAGGTTTTGCATCTGTATTTACCTCTCATTAGTTTCTTACTGTCTCTCTAACCTAATCTAACATCCCAGTGACACAAGATGGAAACAGATGACAGCTAACCACTAATGAAGTGCCTGTGTGATAGCACTGTGTGAAGAACTGGTCATCTGTAGGTTCTGCCTACTTGCTAAATAGGACATTTTTAAAAAGGGACCATGCAATAAGTTGGGGTCTGCTTCCTTCCAGAAAACATACTTCGAAAGGTGATAAAACTGCACAAAAATATGGGTTAGAAATGTTCACTGTTCCTCCCATTTGGCTTCATATTTGTATTTAAGTATTTCAGCTATTCTTTAGATTCAGGTGGGTAGCCGTGTCGGTCTGAATTAGCAGAACAAAGTTCAAGTCCAGTGGGGCACCTTTAAGGCCAGCAAAGTTTTATTCAATGTATAAGCTTTCATGTGCAGGCACACCTCTTCCGATACATTGAGATGGAAGTTAACAGTGCATACATATAGGCAGAAGGTGAGCAGTACTGCAAACTTAAGCTAGGGCTATCCAAGGGGCAACACAGTTGAGACTATTACTACTTTCCTTATTAATCAGAACACAAACTTGGTGCATTTCTAGTTGTGTACCCATGTTCCTAAAAAGATAACACATTATTCTACAAAACCTCTATTTAAAAACACTTAAACATATCTCTAGCTACTGCTGCCTCATGCAAAAAAACCCAAACCTTTAAGAAGAAAGCATAATTATGAATCATCATAGACTAGAGTAGCAGCTCTGAAAAAAATCTGAACTACCTCATTCATTATAAGAATATTAGCTTCCAAATCCACAAAGAGCCATTTTAACTATTAATGAATATTAGCTATTCATTTTCTCTTAAACCCAGTTTCTGTGACTGATGTTTCATCTGGATACATAATAAATGGGTGACACTAAACAAAAAATAATCCATTTTGTAGTGCCACACTAGGAGTCAAAAAGTGCAAGAAAAGGAGAGCTAGACTGACGAAACCCTCAAATACTATTCTTTAATGAGACCCAGATGCAGAGAGGAAAGTGGGAGAAGGAAACTTACATATGCATTCTCTTTGACACTGCAATGGAGATACACTATGAACACACTCCAGTAGCCTTAACTATTCTGGTGGGCTGGGAAGAAAAAAAGGATTCAAACCTTTTCCTGGCAGTAACAGTACTTCCTGTGAATAACAAAAGAAAAAGGAGAAAAGGGTTCAAAACATACCAGTACAGGATGGAAAGTTAGATAGAGGACCTCTTTCTTTCTGATTGTATTAGTACTGGTTATACCTGGACGCCTATTCTCCAGTGGGAATCTAACTTTCAATATCCATTGATTGAGAAAAGAATAACAAATGCCGAAAATAATCAAGGTGTTACCAACACTTGGGGGGGGGGGGATTTTTTCATTTCATTTCTGTGGGTAGAACTTTCAAAAGCACAATCATATGCTGAATATCCAAATCACAAGGCATGACACACCAGAGAGAACTGTTACTCTTCCTACTTCCTAGCTAAACCTGCTCCAAATTTAACACTCCAGCTAAAACAGTGTAAATACTGCCATTCTCTTGGCCTTCTGACTCACTCCACCCTTGTACTTCTATTTACACACTGCCAAGGTCTCTCATTCGACTGAGCAGATGCTAGTCATTATCAATGTTCCCTCTAAGCTGTGCAGTCTTGTGAGCCAAAATTCTACTTTGTGAGCTGCTGGCATTAAAGTTGTGAGCAAGCGATTTGGCTGCTGCATAAATTAGTTTGTTCTGGAGCCATCCTTCCTGAGCTAAGACAAATATGTGTGAGCTGGAGGCTAAAAAACTGTGAGCTAGCTCACGCTAACTCAGCTTAGAGGGAACACTGGTCATTATTGCTGGGGCCCATAGCGAAAGCCATCAAGATCCTGGTTTGGCTAACAAAGAATGACAGGCACTTGAGCTCCTTCTCTTGTGTCCATAACAGTGCCCCACGGAATAAACCTAAGTAGATCTGCTTAAGAGGTCTCTCAAGACTTGTACAGCTCTACCATCCACTACTATGCAAAAATTAGCAGGCACACCTAACCCAAAGGATGCAGCTGTGAACCCTATGACACATGTTCCAAATAATATTTCATCTAACAAACTGGCCATCACACCTGAAAATTTTTACCACTTGCTACAGATAAATGAAAGTGTAAAACCTTACTACTACACTACGTACTTGAGAGCTAGTTTGGTGTAGAGTGCTGGACCAGGATCTGGGATACCCGAGTTCAAATCCCTACTCTGCCATGGGGTTACCTTGGGCCAGTTGCACATACTCAACCTAACCTACTTAAAGGGGTGGTTGTGAGGATAAAATGGAAGAGAGGAGAATGATGTGAGCCACTTCAGTTCCTCAATGGGAAGAAAGTCAAGCCACAAATGAAGTAAATAAATACTCACTAGAAATGTGTACAGCCTATTCCTGTATACTATGTTTACCTGGGAATAAGCTCAACACAGTAGGGCATGCTTTGGAGTAAGTACACACAGGGCTACAGCCTTAAGTTTCTTCCTAACCTTTGGCTACATTAAGCTGAGCCTCCCCATTTTCTGAGTGCAGGCCAAATCGTACATTTAACTGTGATGTACATCCAAGTCCTACTTGTATAATTATTAAATTACCTGACAACTGTAAAGAATACACAGCTACTTAAGTGTTAAACCTGCAGTTCTGAAGAGGGGCAGAAAATGCCTCTCTTATTTCTATTGGAATAACTAAAAGATTTCTAGTACACGCCCCCCAAACACATAATATTAGAGTAGCCACTTTCTAATTTTTTCCTTCTCATTAAAGTTGCCTGAACTGGGCATTTAAGCCTACAAGACAGACACATAAGCACCAGAACCTAATCTCCTATGACAGCCAGTATCCGATAAGCTTATTATGCAGTGAGGAAGCAGCTTCATGAACCCTGCCAATAAAGCAATATTGCCAACTCATACAAAGATCTCATACTCCAGTTTGAGGGAAGAAATAGCAAGTTAACCCAGATAATGTATGCGCATAGTACAATAACATGCAACTACCATATGAAAAACTATACACAATTTCTTCACCTTGCAGAGGCAGGAGGGGAAGAGAGAGAGGTTCACGCATTAATACAAGTACGGTATTTACTGAAACATGAATCTGGCTTTAAAGAACACTCATTTCTATTTACTGAAACACGAATCTGGCTTTAAAGAACACTCATTTCTCCAACTACTGCGGAAAGCGGCTATTGTCCAGAAAAGCGTTCTGTCAGTAAAATCCCAATAACTATTAGGTTTACAATCCCTGTTTAGCAGCTGTAAGAAAACCTGGTTTAGGATCAATATGAGTTCGAGCGAGGCACACGTCAGAAGAGCAATCCAGTTAACATAGTTACGCCAGCTGTTTATTTCTTGCTACCTGCACGCTTGTAACTTATTTGGCCACGGCACAACTACAGGAAATGTTCACGTTGGGTGTGCAGACCCCCTCTCCCCGCCCAAGTGTCCATTTCACGGCTACACTTGACGAGGGGGGGGAAGAGGCCGCTGCCGTCCCCAAACACCTCGGTGCCAGCGGGATTCGCCTTCCCTTCCCCCATCGCGACAAACACTCGTTAACGCTGATTCACCAGTTTCCCGAACAAGGGATCAAATCACACACACACACCGTCCTACAGCCTGTAACAGGAGTGGGGCAAAACGAGGGAAGAGGGACAGAGAAGAAGACCCTACAACCTCCCTTCCTTCTGCAAACCTCGTTACACAACGGGAAGAGGGGGGCGCGCTCTCGCACACACATAACATACACACATAACACACACACACACCCCATTTTGGGCAACGGCGCCGCGTGGTGAGGGGGCACCAGAAGACTATACCCAGGAAGGAAGAGCTGCCGCCGCAGTATCTGAGGAGGAGTTGAGTGGAGGCCACGCCGCCGCTGCTGTCGCCGCAGGATCTGAGGAGGAGTTGAGTGGAGGCCACGGCCAAACGGCGCAGTCCTGCTGAGGAGAGAAATAAGCTGCGGAAACCGCTGCCGCATATCCCGGCCCTGCCTGCCTACCACTGGTGCCAGGGCCCGGCCTACCTCTCACCGCCCCTCCCTCAGCAGAGGCTGCCTAGCACCCCTTCGACCGGCGGAGGCGCCATTTTCCCTGCCCTCGGATGGAGGAGGAACGCGCCCTTCCTCGGTCGCCGCCGCGCTCCTTACCTTGCTGTTGAGAAGGGCCAAGCGCGGTTGCTGAAGGGAGGAACCCGCTTGAGGCGGAGGGAGGCGCTCGCTGCAGCGGAGGAGCTCCTCTGGCCGAGCCCGGGAAGTGCCTGTTGCTGCGGCGGCAGAAGAGCAAAAGGCCGCTCTCCTCCGCCGCTAAGTGTGATTCAAGTCGTCGATAACCGTCTGGTAGTAACGTCGCAGTCCTATGCGCGCATACTTGGCAGCAGAGACCGCGGACCTCTGTGGGGACTTACTTGCCAGTAAATTGGATCGGGTTGCAGTAGGAAAGGAACGGCCCTATCGTGCTTTTTTTAAAAAAGACACACAAGTGGTATGACCGCCACTCGGGCATTAACAGCCAATATCCTTAACTCCAGTTTAAACGTATTGGGAAGGAGATGCCAGACATAACCAGCCCCGCGTTCTTTGATTCTTGAAGAACAGTCTAGTCTGCAAGGCAGCGCCAGTTTTTGACTGGGAAAGCGGATGCCACAATATAGCAGACCACCGTTGCAGCATCGTTTGACTAATCCTAGGCAGAAATATGTTCCACTTTGTCCAATGGTGCCTCCTCCCAGGTAAGTATACGCAGGTCTGCAATCTCACTTCTCACTTATTAAAAACTGGATTCCATGCAAACCTAAACCTATTGATTTTAACAAGCTTAGGCACGATCAGTGACCTCGAGCAGAAAAACCACCAGCGACCACAGCCATAAACATTTATACTGAATGAAACGGGCTGTTTCTCAGCATCAGGACTGGGTAGGCAGTCTCCCATCCTGCGAATTGTTAGTAGTAAATATCTAACGTATACCAACCCCCCCCCCCAATAAAACCCTGAAGATTTCAATAAAGGAAGAAGATATTTTCCCTAGGCTACAGAGGATGGTTGCCTCTTGTCTATTAGAGGCAGAATAAATTATGCAAAATAAGAGACTAGGTGCACATTTCATAATGTTGGTTTATATATTATTCACAGAGGGTCATCTAGTGCAGCATCCTGTAACCATTCAGAAGTTTCTGAAAAACTTAAAAAAAAAACCCCAGTGCTCTTTGGCTCCAGTAATGAATAGCAGAATTCAGCTTTTTGAGCAGAATTTAAGGGGTTTTTTAAAATACAGACTATACATAACTTAATGTACAAGCAATATTTCTGTAAACGATGGATGTTTGCAAGGCCAGAAGAATCAGAGTTCTATAAAAGTAATTTAAAAGCTCCCATTAATTTTAATTGCTGCTGACAAACTATTTTGTGACCTGTTGAGCTTTTCAACTAGAAGTTATTAAGGATTTTTAAAAGAATGTAATTAGGAATGTTTATACCCTAAATTACAATCAAATAATCAGTACTGAAGATGACTTAACATCATAACAACAATTAATAATATAACATTGTTTAGGATTGCACTGTGAAACTCTCAAGCAACAAATATTACCAAAAAAGCTAGTAAGCGGCATCAGTGTCAAAAAATCAGAACAATTGAGTACCACAACTAATCCTCATCAGATGGTAGCACAAGATCAGATATCAACAGAGGAAACTTTGTTAACTTCAAGGCTTTATAAAATAAAAACATCCTGCAGTGCAATTATAGGCATGTTTCCTCAGAAATAAGTCCTATTTTGCTCAATGGAGCTTCGTCCCTAGCATGTGTGATTAGGATTGCAACCTTCATGACTCATGCAAAGTTGAGGACCAGAGGAGCCAAGCAAACACCTTGTGGGAGAGTGGTGCAGTCTTGGAATAAACACAGAGCATATCTTGCTTCCATTTGTGAACGCACACAAAGCAGCCCCTGAACTGAAGATCTAAGAGCACATATATGAGAATAGACTGTCATTTATATATCCTTGTCCTAAGCCGTTTGTTACCCTGAAATACGAAGAAATCCTAGGTTTACATCCCATTTAGTAGACTTCACTAAGATTCTGAGTAGAACTGCTTAGGATTACACTGTTAGTACTTTAAAGGTCATCAACAAGTTGGTAGGCAATGGAGCAGTATTGCAATCTTATGTTCCTTTTATATTTATTTATAAATTCAATTTATAGCCCTCCCTCCCCGCAAAGCGGGCTCAGGGCGGCTTACAGTCAGGCATAAGCCCACACATAAAAACACATTTAAAACATTCTACAATATTACAAATATAAAGTGCTCCAGATGTTTCCATTGATCTATAGAGATGACGAATGTTACTGCTGCTCTACCATCTCAGTGTTTTCTGTTCCATGTAATGCCGACGTTCTTTCTTCCAGGGCCAGATAAAGATGGTACAGTAGTGGCGGCTCCTACTCAAACGCCTGGCGGAAGAGCTCCGTCTTACAGGCCCTGCAGAACTGCATTAGGTCCCGCAGGGCCCGGATCTCCTCCGGGAGCTCGTTCCACCAGGTAAGAGCTGCCACCGAAAAAGCCCTGGCCCTGGTAGCAGCCAGCCTGGCCTCCTTCGGGCCTGGCATTGCCAGGAGATGTTGCGTCCCCGACCGTAGTGCCCGTGGGGAACATATGGGGAGAGGCAGTCCCTTAGGTATGCTGGACCCCGACCATATAGGGCTTTAAATGTAAGAACCAGCACTTTGAAGCGAATCCGGTACACTATCGGCAGCCAGTGCAGCGCTTTCAGCACAGGCTGGATGTGGTCCCTACTAGGAAGACCCATCATCAGCCGACTCATCAGACTCATTTTGCTGAGTCTCCATTAGAATTCTTGCTATCTCATTCTGAACCAACTGCAGTTTGAGGAGGCAATTCCACATACAAGAGTAGGAGATGGCACTGTCTAAGACATACCCTGTTTCCCCGAAAATAAGACCTACCCCAAAAATAAGCCCTAGCAGGATTTCTATGCATTTGTGGTATAAGCCCTAGTGTGTCTTCCTGAGAAAAAATAAATATAAGACAGTGTCTTATTTTCGGGGAAACACGGTATGTAGAGATATGAGGGCCAGAAAAAAAAAGGGAAAACATTTCCCTTCCAAGAACTTTTTACTGGGAAACTCCTATGAAATAGGTATTTTTTTTTTCCATTTGCAATGATGAAATGATTTTAAGACAGGATTTTACTCATACAAACTCTTTGAGAATTGTTATGTAAGACAGTCTACTGCACTAGAGAATAATTCCTGCATAGATTGTAGACATATACATACATAAGTGGCGACAGAAGAAGCCAGTACCCTGAATCTGCACTCCTTTTGGCATGACCCACTCTAGTCATCCTTTGCTGCTCTTGCCTTGAAGGAGTTTGAACATAGACCATCTATGCTTGCAGTGTCCTGAAAGACATCCATGGGTTGGCTTGAGAGACAAGTTGTGGAGTTTCATGCTTCCCAGGAGCATGTGGACCTGATTCAGACTGGGAATGCAGCATGCAGGGAGAGGGAGCTTAAAGGAGCCACTGTGCGCCTCATCGGCTGCTCCACAGACACATTGATGGACTACACTTCCAAATAGGGGCAAACAGAGGTAGGACCATTTCAGGTAAGATTAAAAAAAAACACCACAGGGGAAAGGTCTAAACTCCCTCTCCCATATACCACAGTCTCAATCTGCCGTGACGTGTCTCTGAAGCTGGCCTGACGTCGTCCCTGGGGATTCCCAGACACTCCAGACTGGGAAACAAGCAGCTTATTGCCCTGCTTTGCTGGAGGCAAAACTAATATTTTCAATAATAAGTTTATTTTTAACTGTTAACTAATTTTATCAACAATTAAGATGATGTAATGTGTATGATGGGTAACCCCATCAAACAGTTAAATGTTTTCTGTTTTACAAAGCTCAACTTAATACTGAAATATGCTACTAAACCTATTGTGACTGCATGAGCCTGTTTCTGTTTGACTAATACACTTTCTTTTGTTTACTATGAAAATTTATTTCAGTTATTTATTTTTCTATCTCTTGGATGGCAAAATGCAACAGTTTGCTGAGCTCCCTTGCTTCAGTTTGTCTGCTGACCTCCTGCCCTTCAGTTACCCTAGACCTCAAAGCTTCTACCAGTTCCCTAGAAAATGGTGAGAGAGACAGAGCACAACTGCAGATAGACCTACTCAGTGGTTTCAGGTATATGTTAAAGAGCATGGGAGCCAAGATGAAACCCTGCAGGATTTCAAAAGCCAAAGGCATGACCCATGGTCACCCAACATCACTTTTGAGGATCTGCCAATCCAAAAAGATTGGAGCCATCATAAAACAGTGCTCCCTAGTTCTGCCCTGGCTGAGTGATCTCGGAGGAAGCTACTGACAATAGTACTGAAAAATGCAGTGGTGAAAAAATGTAGACTTTCTTTGCTACAAAGACCACATGAGTTCATATAAAGCTGTCAGACCATTGATCTCCCATGTTTAGGAATATGTACTATGACTGGCAGCAGTCCTCCATTGTCTCAGGAAGAGATATTTTGTATCTGCCATTACCTTTTAACTGGAAAAGCTGGGGGATCAAACCTTGGATCTTCTGCAGACAATGCACAGGCTCTCCCTGTGATGTCTCTAAAATGGGCCCTCGTTCCTATTTAGTCAGCTTTGGCATGATTTCCCTCCCCACTATCACTCTAGCTGTTGTCCCTGATCTCTCACTGCTCCAGAGAATTCAACATGTTCTTACTTGTAGGAAAGGGTGCTTAAGAGGCATTTGTGTCGTTTACATAATCTCTTTCCAGAGGTGGACGGGAGTTTCTAAAGGACTGTCAATCAAACCAACTGAAGAAGAAGAGTTGAATTTATACCCCACCCTTCATTCAGAGTCTCAGAGTGGCTTACAATCACCTTCTCGTCCTGTCCCCACAACAGACACCCTGTGAGGTAGGTGGGGCTGAGAGAGCTCAGAGAACTGTGACTGACCCAGGGTCACCCACCTGGCTTTCATGTGGGGAATGGGGAATCAAAGCCAGTTCTCCAGATTAGTGTCCACCACTCTTAACCACTACACCAAATTGGGAGCTCCCTAAAAGCTGTGAAGA